TAGCATGTCTACATACTGTGTATCACCTTGAATTGTAAACTGTTTCCACATTCTCTGTTTTATTGTTTAATTCTATCTTTCAACAACATTGGATTTTTCTCCATTTTCTGTTGAGTATACTGCTGTGTTATGTTTTTCTAATAACTCTTTGAGATGTTTAGTATAGAATTCCTTACCCTTGTCAACCCATAGATTTTGTGAAGGTCTTATCCATCCATATTTACTAAACACATCAGTAGCCATAAGCAGATATTTATATTTGCTGAATTGTTGCATATCAACAAGGTATTTACTCCATATTTCATCAATGTGATTTACGATAACACGCCGTCGAGTAAAATCCGTCTTTATGCGTTTGTATAATTCCTCTGTTAATTGTTGCTGCCGACTTATTTCTTTACTCGACGGCTTTTTCCTTTTTTTGAAACACCTAAACCAAGTTTTTATTTTTTGTCGATCATATTTTTTGCCAACAATGACCCCATTGTCATCTAAGGCTTTCACCATTTTTCTACCAACTTTATTCTTGCATTTTTTTGTTATCTTTACAAACGGCATAATTGACGTCATGTTGCATTGCTATTGCATCAGTTTTACCCGTCGGCTGATCGTAGATCTCAAGTTTTTCGCCAGTGTTGGGATTATATTTCAACTGAGATTCCAGATCATCGTACGGACCTGTGCATTTATGATCTGGTAAGGTCCAACCACTTCTTGGTTTTGGTAACCTCCCGATTGATTTGTGAATATCGAAAGCACTCCCAAATGGATATCTATATTTTGGTCTTCCAGTGTAACACTTTTCTAAAGCCAAGTCAGTCAAACTTCCTCAGTATCCATTTCTTTTGTCGTTTTCATATTCTCTTTCATATCCAGCAACAGTTTTTTGGGCTTCAATTTTAAACATTGTCGGTCTTCTGAAAGCATCTTATAAAAATGATAAGCCTTTGGGTACATCAGATTATCTTTTAAAAGGGCTTCCCTGTTCCAAAATTTTATCAATTATCCCATCTCCTCTTTCAATGCCCCCAGCTTGTTAGGGCTCTTCTAGTTTCCCTGTTTGATAAACTTTGTTTTAGTGGCACCACAAGAAACACAGGTGCATTTTAAGATAATTTTGTTGTTTTTGGTCGTCTCATACCTTTCATCACTTAGAACACAATCAGTTTGCTTCTTTTCTCTGACACGATATGATTTCATATATATGTTCGTTAGATAATTTCATCAAAATTCTACACCACGCTTTTATTCTCTTTGTTCAAAAACAGGAATTTATATGATACCAATCTCTCGAATAATTTCGGATAGACCATGTTCTCTTTCCCAATCAAATTATTGTGGTTTTTTGTCACAGAACGACAAAGAATCATATGACTGCAGTTTAATCTCAGTTTCTGGGGTACATTATAATGAGGTTGACTGAGATAGATTGGTTAAATATTGTGATGTCTTCAGTCTGTGAAATAATCGGCTGTCTTTGGTTGGATTTTATCTGGTGCGTTGACATGATCATCAAAAACTACGATTTTTCTGTTTCTTTCGGGGTATTCACTTGTGTCCATAATGTCATCTTGTCATTTATTTCCATAACATCATAACCAACTTTGTCAGACACGCGGTCCATAATCTTTTTTGATGCTCATTCCTCATTTGGTGTGTATAAATAGATTTTGTCAAAATAGACTAATGGATTGCGCAGCATATGCATAATTGTATTAGTCTTTCCACAACCAGATTGACCACAGACCAACATAAGATATTCTTCATCCAAAAAGTTGTTCAATCTTCTGTTTCTGGTTTGCTTTTATCAATGTCATAGTTTGGAATGTTCATAATATATAACACGTCTTTTAGAATAACTGCACAATAAACACCTAATTATGTAATCTTATATATATGGACATATACAGACTGAGGAAGAATGCTCAAAGGTGTACGAAAGCTGAAATGCAGCAGATTTGTGCAAGTGCAGTGCAAGAGTCATTCCCGCTGGCAGAGGTTGAGTCAGCGATTGAGAAGCTTGAACAAGACCTGCGCAACGTGGCCCAATGGTGCTGTGCAAACAACTCAGTGATAAATCCAAGCAGGACAAAGCTCCTCTTTATCGGAACTAGGCAGTTGATGAGTAGGTTACCTTAAGTTCCCTAAGAGTCCTTCCTTGGTTTGATACTACGACCAGTTACTTCAGCCAAGGACTTGGGAGTCATTCTGGACTATAGTCTCGTCCTGCTTTTCTAAACTGTATCAGATAAATCGTGTTAAGAGGAGCTTTAATTAAGGAAACTTTAAAATTACTAATGGCATCATTAGTTTTTAGTAAAATTTTATATTGTTCCACCGTGTGGTCAAACACATCAGCTAGAAATATCAGTAAGCTCCAGTCAATCCAAAACTTCGCCAGCAAGATGGTTACGAGCTCTAAGAAATTCGACCACGTAGCTGCTTTGCTTCGCCGGTTGAACTGGCTACCCGTAAAGCAATTACTACCATATAGGGACGCGGTAATGACTTTCACATGTCTGAATGACCTCGTTCCACAATACCTGAGCGATAAGTTCATTTAACGCTCTAGTATTCATGCTCGTTACACGCGTAAAAGGGACTTGTTTTAGATAACGATTTGTAAAACTGCCACAGGCCAACGAGCTTATGGAACAGTTTGGATAATGACGTTAAGAATCGAACCTCCTTGAAATCTTTTAAGATCGCCATGAGGGAGTACATCCACACAGTAATTAGCTAGCATGAACCTTCAAAACTAGTTTAATTGTAAGTAATTACTATATTTTATTATTATTATTATTATTATTATTATTATTATTATACACTTGTAAGTAGATTTTGAAAAACCTTTTGAGGAACATCTATCAGAGTTTGTTATTTATTATTTAAGGTGGCTTTTTTGGCACAGCTCTCGACAACCTTATTGGACATTCACAGGTCAGCTGTTGTTATGGTTTTCTATAGGATTGCATGGGTGGTGCTGTACAGGTCATCTCACTTATGAGCATATTTGCATACTACCTTCTCAGCTAAATGTGTAAGAAGGGGTATCATCAAAAATGTGTACTTCACAAATTGTTGGCAATCCAAAGTTTTCTAGCGCCTTCAACTTGCAAATTCATCTCCACTTCTATCAGAATGTTTCTTCCTCTTTGAATTCAGTGTTAAGGAGTACCTCCAAAGTTCCTTTTTTCTAAAGCAGGGTTGGGAATTTGATGATGTTTCGCCAATAGTTTAAGCTGGGCATATTTGGAGAAGCAATATTAGCGAAGGTATAAGATGTACCATCAATATTGGGTATAGCATGAATTTAATTTCTCTCTCTGGATAAAATTTGAATATTTAACAAAAATTTAAACAAAGCTAGTCTGCTTTTTTATGTTTCTTTCCTTCATGTAATCTTAACAGTATCTTTCAAGTTTGTCAAATGACATACCACTGGACATAACTTATTATTTAGCTACATATGAGGGCATTGACTTTTGTTATCAAGCAGAATTTTGGTGTATTACAGGTCAGCCCTGTTACTTTTCTTTCACCTGTAACTAATCCAAAGGTAAAGTTATCTCACCAATTAAATTATATTCATTCATTAATTTTAGTGCAATTCAAATATTTTCTAAATCATATAATACCTACCTTTTAAGTGGCCTGACCCCTTTGACACTGACAAATGTTAGCAACCACATGCAATGCATCTCAAGGAGTGACTGTGTGGCAGGCTACTTAAATTAGTAAATATTTATAAGATCAAGTTGTTTAATAAATATACCATCTTGTTCAATGGATGGAAACTGGTGATTGGAATTAATATATAGTTCTTAAGATGTTTTTAGACTGTCTGCAAACCGTTACTAGCATTTCACCTTCCCAACTCAAGGTTATACAAAAAATAAACAGAAAAGTTTGGCCAAAGGGTTTCCTTTAAGCTGGAAAATAATCAGAATGCCTGAGGCAATCATTTTGGCACAAAGTATTCTGTCACCTAAAAGAGTGCACAGAAAAATACCCCAGATGGACTTTTTATAATTTTTGGATCCCTTTGTGACACACTGAGAGAGGTCCATGTTACATTAAAAGAAACGTAAAGATATATTCCAGACACCCAATCAGTTAATGTATGAATCATTAATGTGAGTTTTAGAAATCTTCATAATATATATTGCCTTTCTTGGATGGAAATAGAATGGCTCATCTTTTAACATGTTAAATATGTAAGTAAAACATACCAACTCACACAATAGTAATTTAGAGTAAGGTTTATTTTTAATTGTATATTCAAGTATATCATCCATTCCCTCAAACATTTTCTGGATGATAACAAGATCTAATATATATACATAAAATGTAGCTGTGGGTTTCTCTATAAAAGTTCTTCCAAGTAATTATCATTGAAACAGTTTCAATTCAAAAAAAGACAAGCGAAGTACCAAAACATATGGTAAGTAGTAAAAGAGTTTATACAGATGTACAAGAACTTCTCTTCATAAAAGAACACCAGTTTCTCCTGCTTTGAAATGTTCAAAAATTAACAAGAGGTAGATGAGCTACAAAGACCAAATTATTGAGAGCAGTTGGTTATGTGATTTACTCTTCTTCAGCGGCAGCATCTTCTGCAGGTTCAGAATCTTTTGGCACTGACTCAGCAGGTGTATCAGCAGTGGGAGCCTGTTCACTGCCCACATCCTCCCCAGCCACACTATCCTCCTCAGGTTTATCAGCTGTTTCTCTCCCATCACCTTCTACTCCAGCTTCCTGGTCGCCCTGTTCTCCTGCCTCATCTGCCTTGGTCTCTTCTACTGCTGCTACTGCTGCTTTGGCTGCAATTTCTTCAGCTATCTTTCTTTCTTCTGCTGCCCTGGCTGCTGCCTCTTGCTCTGCAGCCAACCTTGCTGCCTCCTCAAGCTTATGATAAACTTCAAAACGCTTTTGAACAACATCTCTAATGATTGCTAGAAAGTGAAAACAGGACAGTATAAGAATCAATTGATCCCTTTTTAAATTCTTTTATTTCTGTCTTGACAATAAACTTCCAAAAAATCAGAGTATCTTTTATTTTGCTTTTCTAACATCTTAGTTGTTTAATCTTTCATTAGTCCTTTATTTTAAATTCCAGCAACAAAATTGCTGATGATCTTCAGTCAACTTCTATTCATTCCCATGAGGCAAGTCAAAAATCTGTTAAAATCAAATTTCCTCAATGGTGAGAGTTATTTGAAACAGTTTGACAGTTTTTTTGTCCAGGTAAAGTTAGAAACACCAGTCCCTTATTGTAAAGAAAGATCTGTCAGTGCTTACCATCAAGGACAGTTCTTGCAACAACACTTTGATTTAATTCACCCTCCACTTTCTCCAACAACCATGGCATAAAGTATGTTTCTACATCTGTAGAGAAAAAGTATTTCTTTACTGAAAATATCACTTGCTCCTCACCTCAGCAACCAAAGACAAATAAAAATGACAGAAAAGGTAAACAAATTTTTTTGCACTTTACCTCTTTCCACTGGATCGTAGAAATATCCATTTTCATTTAGTGAACCAAACACAGACGGTACTAAATCCGCAAGGTAACTCTGTTAAAAAAAAAAACATTTTGTAATCAGATAAGAAATAACTCATCTTTCTAATCCAAAAGCACATTTCAGATCATATTTTGAAGCTGCATAACAATTCAAAGAAATTTATAACTAGGCTAAGAACTGAACTGATGGGGTAAGTTCCACATACGTTGAAGAGAGCAAACACCAAAATACTTAGGGGTTGCTGGTTGGGGTTCAGTTCTTGTTAAAAATAATGTTACGTTTTAAAATAGTAAATTCAGGCATGAAAATTTTGTACTGTTTTATCACAGATTAAATACTGACTACAAGTAACAAAAATAGTAAAGTTCCCAAATTTTACTCACCTGAGCGAAGGCACGTGCTGATATCTTTTCACCAGTTTCTTTTTCTTTTCTCAATACTTCTGCCTGTTGTTTCATTCTCCGTTCTTTCTCTTCTCTGTGCCGTCTTTCTTGTTCTTCTAATCTCTGCGTTTCAACAAGTTCAGCATTCCTGAGTTCCTTGAACCGCCTCTGTTGGGCTCGAAGATTTGAGAGTTCTTCCTCTTCCATCACCTCTAGAAGAGCCTGTTCAACTGTTTTACCAACAAGCACCTCTAGGATCGGTTTAACTTCAATGTCAAAGTCAAACAACTGCACAAAACAAAAGCAATATTCAAAACTAAATTATACATTTACAACAAGAGAATATAAACCATTGCAGATATTTCCCCTACCTTTAGCTTATTCTTAAATTTTAAAGTAGCTCATTAAGAAAGCATAATTTTTTGGAAAAATAAAATCTTTATTGCAGTTTCATGATTCTACTTGCTCACATCAATGTGAGAAATATTAACCAGAACCACACAAAATTTGTATAAAGCATACTGTACACGTATATCACATGCCCTAATTCTTTAGAGTATAAATCATGATGGAAGCCATCCTGTGTTTGTAAGGTAAATCAAACCCCTTGGACTGTAATGTAACCAAAATAATGAAAACATACTTCTCCTTCTAAAATTTGAGTTGCGACATCCACACCACTTTTTGCAGGGATAAACAGAGGAGAAGGAGGTCTGTCAAGAAATGCATCAGTCTGTGTTTCCACATCAGCTTCTTCCACTCTATCACTCAACTCCTCCAAATAAAGCTCTGTTTGTACATCAATATGTTTCCTTCCTTCAACAGGCTCTGGTGATCTAGGTTTCAACTGTGCTTTGGCACGTTTTCTGGCTATAGCTCTCCGTCTTGCTTCTTGTTGTCTTTGAATTTCTATAGGATCTGGCTGTGCTGTCTGTAAATCAAAAATTCAGATACTACTTTAATTTTAAAATGTGACTCCCTACCATTCATGTTCCAACAGTGGTAATTGGGGAGGACTTTGTTTGTATCAGACACAATTAAACAGATGTTTGGAGAAATGACTTCAAGAGAAGCTTTTTTTGAGTTAAATTGGTCTCATGATTGTACAAATTGAATTTTGGGATTTGCATAATATCTAAAATATATTTAAACATCAGAGATTTTACCATTGCTAGTTTCAGCACCCCCCCCCCCCCCCCCAACTCAACCCTACTCATTTCCCCCATAATATTTATTCAGCCTCTATCCAAGGGAGCAACTCAAAGACTCCTGAAAAAATTAATGATTCTCTGCATACCAAAAACAACTTACCGCTGGTAGAGTCCTTTGAGCGTAAGTGTTACCCCTAACAATTCTCCGATCATACATGATGTTTCCGTAAGGCGTTGGACTCTCGTTTCTAAAAAGTGATTAAAAAGTGAGTCTCGACTGCACCAATAAAGGTCAACGCTATTTCTAGAACTTCGATATAGAAGTGTTCACGCTAAATTCACAGGAAGAAATAAAAATCACAATACGTTATGGCAAGTAAATATGCGTTATAAATATTTCTCAGTACCTGAGCAATACCAAATACTGCGTTTATTTAAGGAGTAATTTGCTTTGTTAGGGCTAAACCTTTAAAGAAAACGTTTAAGAAGCGATACCAAGAACAGCTCTGTTTTCCTGTACATGATACACGCAAAGTTGCGATACGTATCGCTATCGCAAATATTTTTTTTGGTAAAAAACGTGTTGGATAAAAACGAAGCCTAATATTAAATCGATTTTTCACAGATATTGGTGTACGATTGACAGGATTGTTATTTATTATCTGTGTCTCGAGACAGAAATACTTAGTAAAAACTACAGCACGTAAAATACTTCAAAAGTTAAATGATTCTTCAGCACTTACTCTTGGGTTAGTGGATCCCGATATTTTTTTCTTTGTTGAACAGGTCGAGGTTGACTTGCAAATGTGTAAGTTCTGGAGCCATCTCCTTTCTGAGCGACGACGGCTGTCATTTCGTAATATTTTGACCACTTGGTTAACGATTTCAACTAACAGGAATAATTTGAAGCGGAAATATCAGTCGAAAGAACCTTACGATATTTAAACTCGATCAATAAATCTCTCGTCTCCAAAATCACCCAAACAACATGGCGTTGCCAATGATTCTGTTTGGAGGGAACGATACGTCATAGTTGCCATGACAATAATAAACGTGATAATCATAGAGTTGCGACATTTGAACAAGGTTTTGATTGGTTATATTTAGTTTGATAATAAACCAATTAGAATGCAGATAAGATATTTTTGGTATATATCAATAATGGCGGACGCGATGAGGCCTTCTGGAAGCAATGAGCTTTTTCATCCAGAAGTTCTTTCGCGAGAGCGACTCTTGCAAATTTTGTGCGATCGATCTATACCTCGTGAACATCTTTTGTATTTAGAAAAAGGTGATCTTGTCCAGCTATTTTATAAGTATGTCACCCCACTAACCCAAAGGCTCCATCAACTTCGTCGAGCAAGAAGAAGGCAGCATGTGCCTTGTGGTGGACAAACCGTTACTTCCAATGAAAAAACACCGAAAATAATTCAACTAACGAAGAGGTAAGAAGCTCTGTACTGAATCATTTGTTTTAAAAATCAACTTTTATGTTGATCAAATCTTTAGAAATATTTATCTCCCGGAAAGAAGTGTGTGTATGTTAGTGCATTTTTTTTTGCATTTTTTCATGTCACATGATCACCCATACAGGTATGTAAGCGACCAAATTTAGAAAAATTACGAGGAGTCTAAGAAAATGAAAAGGAAATTTTCACCCAGGTAATTAATCAAGTTCCCAGTCAGTGAACTAGACATCGTGGAAGTTGAGTATTGAAAAGGTTTCAAGTTCTTATTTCGGGAAAGGGAATCAATGGGTAACCTTGACTGTTTCACAGTGATGAAAGGAAGAGTGGTAAATAAGCCAGCAAAATTTCCTCACAGCCCCATACTTCATTATGCATGCATATGTGTGGCTTTATTATTCAGTGTATCACCAATTAGATGTGCATGCAAATTAAGTATGGAGCTGTGCGGAAAGTTTCCAATTAGCCAAGTAGAATATTGATCCTCAAAGTTCTTCAATATTATCATCAGATCAATGAAAAAACCTTTCCGTATGCTTTAGAGATGTGTTAATCAACTTCTTCATATTCTTCTTAGTCCAGTCTATGTGGTAACCAAGTGAGTTGTTTTGTTTGTTTTTTTTAGAGACATTTTTAAGTTCAATGTCAAATTATAGCATACAAATAAATTTTTGAAAAATCAATTTAGCTACCTATATGTGGTGAAATGAATTAACATCATTGTATTTTTAAATCAAAATTTAGAAAATCTCATGAAAAATTAAATACAAGACCCATCAAGATCTCAAGAACAGAGCTCAGTAGCAGCATCAAAATCAACAGAAGTCCAACTTCTTTTGAGTCAATAAGTGATGAAATGAACTCTGTATCCATTCATACAACATCTCCGACTATGGACTATATTTCTGATCATGGAGGAAAAGCACAAAATAAATCAATCAAACCAAAGGTGGTAAAACTGAACAGAAAGACTTTAGGACTTCATGTTGACACATCATTTGAAAATCTCCAGTCAAAGGATGAGTCAAATTCAAGTTTAAATGGAAAACTGCAAAAGGTAACAGACTACAGGCCAGACACTGTGTAGTTTGTTTTATTGCAAGCTGCTATGGTTTCTTCTTCTCTAGGATATAAAAAGCTATAATGACTGCATTATTGATATTCACCTTTGTAACTCTTTTCCAAGAAATTTCTTGAGGATTTTTTTAAGCTCATTCCAAAGTGATGGGGTTTTTGTGGTAAGAGTTAATGCAAAATTCAGTGCAATTTATTGTTAAACAATTTCTTCAATATTATACTCTCTACATTTCATTATTGTTATTTGTTCAGTTGTGTACTTGGGTCTTTAGATGGCCCTATTGTGGGTCTGACATTGGGATCCAGCACAATGTGCATGGGGGTTCCTAGAGGATTTCCACACCCTGGTCTGAATACGCTCGAATAGTACTGTAGTGACAACTTTCAGTATATGCTTACTTTTGTATTTAGTAGAACCTAAGTATGAAACTATTTAAGACTTCTGAGGTGATAGAAGGAAAACACTTTGCTGACATCTGTAATGAGTAAACTCTCTTTTTGAGTGGATGAAAGTGTGCCATATATAAACTAAGATTTAATTTTGAAGCAGAATGTATTAATGTTTGTTTGATTTGTTGCTTTGCAGGAAGTTTCTGCCTTTTCAACATCTAGTGATTCTGGCTCAGATGTCAATGATAGTAAACCAGGAAGTGCAAAAAGAAAATTTAAGAAAGTAGCAGTCACATGGCCTTAAACAATTTTAATTTAGGTGAAATAGTCCTCATCAGTGGACTTTGTAAATAATAGGTGTTAGTTTGATAAAATTTATCCATCCTAAGATTTGTGAAAGCTGTGTGATTACATGAAAAACGAAAAGTAACTGCAATTCAATAAAAAAGAGTTATTAAACAGAGGTTGAATTATTTACCTTTATGCTAAAAGTTTTTGATCTTTTATTTATATAAATGTCACAGATATTTAAGATGTAATTACCATGCTATTTTGTTACAAAGGTATCGTTATTCTTTGTAAACTTGTGAATATTCTACAATTTGAGACAGCCAAGAATCATGAATAACACTGGTGCTTTCTTTTCAAAGTGTGAATTCTTAAAGCTTCCTCACAAGAAACCTGACAAACCAAGCCATGTTTTGTTCAATAAATAAAGGGGGTAAGACAATTTCTAACATCGTACTTCGGTCATAGTTATTGTAATACATCCTATTTCTTTTTAGGACTTGCTGTAGGGGTCATAATCTAAATGAAGGCCACCCTCTCCAGCTGACTAGCTCTGAATTTGTCCTATTGAAGATGTGCATGTGGAACCCCCA